GTTATACGTATACCTACATAAGGAAAAAATCTCCATATACTACAAACTACAAAGTTGATGATTACGTCTTTATGTTGGTAAACAACACGTAGGTTTAATGAACGGCAGTGATGCGTGTAATCAAACAAACTGGACAAAGAAACCGACTACTCTACTTACTGTTTTTTTAGTAACAGTTTTTATTATAGTTACTGTTTATTCCGTCTTAGTCAACATTGATTCAGCTATTATAAGTGATCTTTTTATCAATAACAACTTCGTCTTTCTTTGCTATGCCTAGAAGAGATCGCTCTGAACAATAATGCTGCGCATTGTACAACATAGGTAGATATACCTACGAATGATACTAGGTTTTTTTAAAGGGAAATAATTATTGAATGACTTCTCCCGCGTGGGTGAGGTGGGAGGGAATGTTACTAACTAAAAACCAAACCGTTTCTATTCCTGCCCTTGAGGCAGAGCCTCGGCAACCCGTAATGTCCTCCGCGGCTCCGTATCAGCATCAGCCCTATTGGGTGCCAATTATAATATTACCAAACCACTTTAAAATAGGCACTTAGAAACTCTAGGTTACATTACATACAGCAGGTATTAGTTACAAATTAATGGAAGGCACTCATTTGTTTTGGATTAATTAACTAATAGCCTTAGTTACAACAGGATTATAAATCATTTTGTTTATAAACAACGCAGGCTAATGAACAGAAGACATTATGTATGTGCATATTGTACAATCGTCTAAGTCAGTGCTGTCCAAACCATACACCCTCGCGGGCTAATTAAATTTCTTACAAAAGCTGAAGGGCCAGAAAAATATTTTCAGTTGTATAACGACGTTTAATATTGTATTCTTTGCTCACAGACAAAACTTGTATACAAATCATACACTGAATTTTATTATTGTTGTTGCACATAAGATGAGGATGTTGAGATTAAAATGTGTGTCGCGAGGCACATGAAAACAAGCCGCGGGCCGCATGCGGCCCGCCGACCTTTATTTGCGCAACCCTGGTCTAAGTAGTCTATTTACAAGACGTATATTATTATTTAGCCAATAACATCCTACTTTCTTCTTAATACTAAAAATGGGAAAAATTGTGAGTTTGCGTGTTTGTGTATATGTTTGTTACACAGTCACGTGTAACAAACATATACACAAACACGCAAACTCACACATTTGAAACAGAGGTTTAGGTCTAAAGTAACCTAGAATTCCTTTTTATCCTGTGGGAACGCGGGCGATGCCGCTGGTAGGTGTTAGTATAATATAAATATTCTTACACTACTCAAAATTATATCCCTATTCAGAATTAGTGTTAATGTGTTGCGTTATTTTCTAATATTATTAAAAGGTCAATAAAGAATCAAATCCTAATAATGTTATAAACAAAAACAGATTTAGATATCATAACGACCAATCAAATCATACTTAGAGGGTCTGGACCTAAATTGCTTACGTCGCTGATGTATCAATTTAATGTAGGTACATAGTTACACATTACAAAATTAAATAGGTAGCTATAAGTAAAAATGATTGTGTAATAATCACCTAGTAGTAATATCTAATACATTTCTTTACGATAGAAACGTAAAAATAATACAAAACGGCACTAGGTTCATCAGAAAACTTCCTTAGACATATTTACCTCTATTGTAAGAATATTAAATAATTGTTAAAAAATGCAAATAAAACCTGCCGATTCTCAAGGTTGCTGTTTAATAAACAAAAAATTTGAATATCTAAAAAAAGAATATCGTTTGAATCAAATCTAAAGCAGACAGGGTATCATAAAAATCTTGTAATAAAACAATTAATATGTATTCAATACAGAATAAAAATGTCGGCATTTTAATCGGGCATTTTGTTATCACTACCTGGCAACACTGTTTAATTACTCGTTATAATCATGTTTATCATAATTATGTAGATGTGTAATCAACACGTCAGAACAGACTCTTACAGTGACTTGTAATGTTTGTGGTCTTTGTCCCGAAGTGTTCAAGCAATTTCTTGAATGAAATGGCCGCTTAGATATCTTTGCTACAGCGAATTACATCAGGAATTGATAATACGGGCACATTATAAGGAAAATACATTAGCTTGAATTCCAACCAACCTAATTTGAAGAGATGTTTCTGGAAGGTAACAATGTCGATGTCGGTCAATTTTTAAGTGTATGATTTTAAAAATTCTTAAATACAAAAACAGTCACGAAACCTCTTGATTATTTACGATATTAAATTATAATATTGATGTTTTAATCAATCATTTTATGTTGTTTCTTGATGAAAAAAAAGGTAGTAACATCAACCTAAAAAAGCAGTTTTACGATAAAGACCCAACGCTCATTCTCAACTAATTGTCAATGCGAAGTAATAAAGGCAAAAAAAAACAGTCTTATGAATATAAAACCTCCTTTTTTAAAGTCAACAGAACTTTAAATAAAAACAGCTCAATTAATACAGTAAAAGAGGAGTTGTAAAAGAGTTTTACTATGTTTATAAAAGTATTTATCGTTATCACAACAATTTCTGCCTGCAACTGTAACGCACCTGTGTGATCTGAATTATCAATTAGGCCGTAAAAACATAAGTTATCGTAATAACCTTTGCTATCACATTTGTGTCGCCGAAAAGGAAAACTGTAGCAATTTACCCCTCCATAATTATTTTTACATAAACACTATTGCTTCAATGAAACTTCAATGTAATTTATTGCGTTACGAATTCGCATCGCATCGCATCCTAGTTTTGTTAACGAGCCCTAAATTCCGGGTCACCGCGATATATTTATTAACTAGAATAATTTATATTAATAGTTTTTAGGTAGCATATATTTTAATCATGTGATCTTATAAAAATAACTTTATAAAGACTCTGATATTATAAACTAAAATACTAAATGTTTTTACATCTATTATAAGGCTATAAACATTAGCACTAATAATATGTTCTATAAGAAGTTTACCTCCTATTATATATTAGCACCTTATTCTATATACTATACTTAAAACTGAAATTCGATAAACAGTAGCTTGGCATAATATTTCTGAATTTAGCAAGTAGGTATAAAATATACTTTACAAAATATTATAATAAGGCTATTTTCTATACCTTGTAAGGGAAGATATCATTAACTAAAACTACCACTGTCGATTTACGTATCTAAAATAAAAATATGAACGCGTTTTACTATACCTACTAACTGACATTTAAAAATACCAACATAATATTATTGAATGGCATGCAACTGATGCGGAAATTTACCATCTAAGAGAGACATTAATTTAATCGATTTCAGATCAAACTTGCACAATTTTCCTTCCAATAAAGTGCGTTATAAGAAGCGACATTCCGTGTATACCTACACAAAGGAAACATTCCACAGGACACAATTAATGGATACTTCCTCATGCTCCAAATTCTTACATTGAGCGGTGACTCAAAGCGTAGGAGATGAGAAGCGACCGGCACTTACGTCGTTACCTTAATGCTACCCTCAGTGGTACCTAATCGGCTTATTCTTGCTATCATCTTATTATTACCGACTACGGTACATAGTTCAAACATGCCAATGCTCAATCTTCGTAGGGCGTGTGGTCTGAGCGCACTACTTAATTGAAATTAACGCATCCTATTGCATGACAGAGGGAGGAAATCCTCAGTTCTGAGTTGAAAAGGAACAGCATCGCTTCAATGGAATAATGTTCGAATGCACGAACACTGAACATATTAGTGGCATTGACCTCTAGGGTTCGAGGCTTTCGTACCGTAAATACACAATATGTTCAGAAAGCTGACTAGTTTGTTCTAGATCCTAAGTAAAAAACCTCAACTTGATACATTGTCGCACCTAAAAATTGTTAATTAAGGATGTTATACTTAATATTACCTACTAAATTGTCGTTAGATTTTAACTAAGATACCTGTCATTATAATAAGATTACCTAAACAAATTATTCCACCTGCTAGATAGAATTTTAACTAAAACCTCTATCTAATGATAAGTGCGTAGATAATCGTAGATAAAATGTTACCAAGTCTGTTATATGATAAAACAATTGACCGTGTTATTGGGGACTTACTATCATCGAAACCAGGGGCATACGTATAGTAAATAAACTGTTGAAATATCTGTAGGTGTGTATCCAAGGTCTGGACTAGGTCATTCCGATACCTTTGGCTACGTGCACCTCGTACTTCGATAACGTTATCGACAATGTTAACTATGAATCATTTGCAGGTGGTATTGATTCTATATTGAAAGCATTCTTTATTAAAAATGGTATACAGACAAGCCACATTTTTAAATTAACCCAAAAGTTACATGTGACCCGGTTTCATTAAATAATAACTGAACTCTATATCAAGTGTATTTTGTAATAGTATTGAATCAGTAATAGGTACTTCACAAGCGTTAAAATTAATTTTAATCATACCTATGTACCTATATTTAATGGTATTGCAGTTTTGAGGTAAATGACCCAGAAACAGCTGCTCAAACATTACAATTGATATTGGTTTTGGTTCCACTGTCATAACACCGTATATAGAAATGAAATCGAATGTCTCTTAATATAAACACGTTAAATAATATATTACTATAAAGTAATATGCAAAATATTACTCAATCCTTATGGATTGAGTAATATTTTGCTTTGTTTTTAGAAATAAAGCTAAATGGGTGCAGAATATTTAATGCGGAAACCTGCAAAGTAAATAAATTTAATCGTTTATAGTTACTTATTATGTCTAATTGTCTACCTAGATATCATTTGAATGTTTAGCCATACAGGTGTTTTACCTTACAGGTGTTAAAATAAATTATCTAAATCCTCGATCTGATCAATATATTATTAAAAATTAACCTATTCAATGTAATTCTTCGAAAATATAATGACGATTTTTGTGAACCTTAGGTAATACCGATCGTAACTACACACAAACAAACAAAACCCTATAAACAATGGTTACTTACTTTAATTTTATTCCTGTTTCAGAAAACAAACAAGTGGGAATATTTTCATCAATGGACGACTGCGCAATGAAAAAAGTTTTAGGCGAAGATCGTGTTACATATTACAAGATGACAGAGTACAAGACATGCTCACTATCAACGAATCATTACACATAGCAGCAGAACTCAAATTAGGAAATCATATTAGCAAACAACAGAAAAAACGACGAGTAAGTATTTTGAATAGTCGATTACGATATTTAACTACAATACTAAGTTCTACTCATTGATAGAATTCGAATTCCATTAGAAAGGGCTTATTGTTAAGTACTGTACATAAATCCAAACTAACTAATGTTAGGGCTGATAGAGCAAGATTTTAGCCATAAGATTTTTAAAATCAAAAACGTAATGACGCTTAGTTTTAATAAAAAAATCCAAAAACTAAACTTAACATCTCATTTGATTCGGATAATTGAACAACGAGGCCTTCAAATACGATAAATACACAAATAGGATTAATTGAATGTAATAAACTGATTTCATCATAAATATTTTCTAATCTTTTAAGGTCGAATTATTTAAATGATCTCGACTTGTAATCGCTATTATTATCAGTCACAAAATGTATGAACTTGGTACATAAGGACTATCTAACTACGATACAATCACAAGTCGTATTCAATAATCTATTTCATGAAATTGAACAAATATACCTGCAACCTTAATGCAAAGTTAGGATATCTTGTATTTTAATAAGGAACCGTAATATACTATTAATATATTCAACTTACAACTAATGCATGATTTGTTGAGCATGCAAATGCAAAACCACATTTTAAAATCTTATAATTATTTTTTATACTGTATGACTCCATCTAAAAATAATAATGAATGTCTTTCTCTTTTCAGATACATGAAATAATCACATCCCTCGGTTTAAGTAGTTCTAAGCACACTAGAGCTGGTCTTTTGTCTGGTGGTCAGAAGAAAAGGCTGGCAATAGGTTTGGAATTAATCAGTGACCCACCGGTTATGTTCCTAGATGAACCTACAAGGTAATTTTCTAAACTAAGTATTATTTGTTACGACTAGGTATCTAGGTAGTTTTTATATCTGCTCTTTAAAATTTTGGCCTTGGCAACTGAAGACCGTGACAATTGACGCCCGTTGTATGTACAGCCAATAAAAGCGACCCACTACATCCTTTCCTCAGAGGTCAAAGTTGAATAAGAAACATCCAGCAATATTTGGATCAATCACTCACTGAGTACTTCGTAGACTGACATTTCTTTAGTAGTAGTCATTTTTGGGCAATAAACCATCAATTCTATTTAGCGACAGACACTGACATCCTGCCTCTATTTTTGTAGTCTGACAGCAGACTTAACAAACACGATACTGCCGCATGAAACACTCAAAAGCCGCTTCCTTAGGTACTATTAGAACAACGTTATCTAAAACAAATCAGAGGGATTAATGAAGGAATTAAATATTCAAGATAACGACACACGCTATTTAGACACTTTCAAAGTAAATATATTTATGCTCTTTGAATAATATTGTGAGATGAAAAAGTGTGTGTTTCAAAATCCTATTGTTTATCACACTTTACACACGCAATGACTTGTATGAAACACACTGAAGTTTATGTTAAAATTATAATAAAATGATAGGTTTATTTAAATAACAATAAGGTAGATGCCTAATTTTTATTTTAATGTCCGTCTGGTAGATTATTTTAAATCATTACACTTTCAACGATATATTGAAATGAAATGAAATTTGAAATGTCGCATGACGTCACTTCTATGTACATTTTATACGTGGAAATGACGTTTTAGACAACACTTCTAAACTTCGATTCGTTTTATCTAAGTATTGTTTTATTATACGACAAAATAAAAATGTGTCTAATAATTTTTCATTACCTAACTTACGGACTAATTAGATTTTTAATTTTCAAACCCTGTCATCATACCAATTGTTACTCAAACAATACTGTTTATTTCAATGATGTTGCATTCTTATTTAAAAGACTAAATTTTGTAGAAAGTGAATATGTTTTTTCTAATCTCATATAAACTCACGATTCCGATTCAGAGCTAGTTATCAATTGATATTTTAATGATAACACTTATCTAGATAATAAGGTGACACTAAAAACATTGTAATTTAATCCAATATATGGCATTAAATTGAATTGTACCTATCTGGTGATTGTTACAATGTAACTTCCAACCAATGAGGAAGCACAATTATTCTTAAAATTTTAAATGGCACCTTAGATATTTTTTAAATTTGATAAGGTTTATCACACGATTTTATGCAGTAGTAGTACATAGTACTAAGATGCAGGTAATACGAGTATTAAAAAATATCACTAGCATAAAAGAAGACTATACTACATAGAAGACAAGAAGACTAAAAGACTATAAGACTATAGGAAATCTATGGCTATAACCCAGTTTAAAGTAAATAACATCCAAATTTTCCGGTCGATATTTTGTTATCAATTCATAACTTGCTTAACTATATTTAGGTTTGTTTTTGTTTTGACCAACGTTACGAAAACAATTTAAACTTTATCTGTTGCTATGCCACAAGAAACATTTTTGTGTTTGAGTTAATACCTATGTTTGTAAGTTTATCTTTTCCATGCAACGTTGGTCCATTACTAAAAATAAATAATATGTATAAATAATGTGTGACATGGTATGAAAAAGTTCTTAAAACAAGGAACAAAGAGTTCAACTTGATTGTATCTTCTTTCCAGTGGGCTGGATAGTTCAATATCGAAGCAAATAGTATATTTACTTCACCTTTTAGCGCGGCAAGGGCGGACGGTGGTGGTGACCATGCACCAGCCGTCCGCCGCTCTGTTGAGCATGGTGGACCGGTTGTACGCCGTGGTCGGGGGCCGCTGTGCTTACGTCGGCTCCGTACCGCAGCTCCTGCCCTATCTAGAACATATGAACTTAATGTGCCCGCCCTACCATAACCCTGTGGACTTTTGTAAGTATACCTTTGTAGATTTAAAGTATATTTTGTCCTTAACTGTGATTTTTAGAAGATTTTTTTATGTTCTCGATATTACGAAACATATTCAAGACAAATTAATGCCTATAAATCTGGTAAATTTAGAACCAGTTCTTTCTCTGCAACTAAATCGAAATTGGCCAAATTATTGTAGACTTAATAACAAAAACTTAGGCGATTATGTTTATCTACGAATATTTATATGCTATTCATTTTTATTTCACGTCCTGGGCTGGGACTAATGTCCACTTTTAATCGGTTCAGATGATTCAATATTACATCCTGACCGGAATAGGAATCAACTGAATAAAAAATTAACTGTCATGAATCACATATATGAATGAGCTGTACATTTGTTACTAAAAGTTACTAAAAGGTATCAAAAGTACTAAGTATAATTTGTCGAGTACCGGTTTTATAGACACAATTAAAGAACAATAGGTCGCGGTCACCGGTGACCGCTTGGTGTTTGACAGTTTAAGTTTTCGGCTTACTCACGTAACTGTTTGACAAAGAACTCGACTAGTTCAATTCAAGCCATGCTAGATGCTCATATTCATGAGCAGCATTCCGCGACCCGCGACGCGGCGACTGTCGCGCTGCTACTTCATAATGTGTATAGTAATAGAACCTTTAATCCTTTATCACGTTCCAATAGCTGCATATATTTCTCAAAAAAAAATATAAATTATGATCGTTTCTTTTCAGTAATCGAAATATGTGTAGAAAATGCGAGTGACCTAGTGGAGAGCTCTGGAAACGGGAGGAACAATAGATGGACTGCAAACATATCTCATGAGACTGATAGTAATTTAATAGGTATGTACTATTTACATTATAATTTTATTTGCTAATAAATACCTAGTATTTGCTCATTTAGACATCCCATCCACCAACAACCCATAAACCACCTCTTAACTGAGAGTTTACCTTAACGGATCACCTAAACTAACCGTTCTTTTAGGCGTCACTTGTAGGTTGATGAAAATCAAAATATTATAAGCGTCACCCACCTTAGCTTAGGGGTTCCTTAAAATTTTAAAGAGGGTTGTGGCAACTGCATTATTCAAATTGTAACCACTTCTAGTAAGCCTTGCGACTTAAGCTGGTTAATAAATAACTAATGAATGAGTTTTATCCTTTTAGTCGTTAAGTCGATAGCGTGATGTATTAAGTAAATGATGATATCGTATGATTTGTATGCAAACCGCGTGGAATCCTTGAACCAATAAGTCGCACGTCGACTACTCTAGATATGGACTTCAATCGAAACTAACTGAATAAATCATAAAATCATCATTATTTAATGAACTCGCACTTTGAGTGACACCTTTTACTGGTTTTAATAAATTGTCTAAATTGTTTACTTTTGTATGAAATATTGTTTCTCAGTAAGTGAATTATGTATGTGATTCTTTATGAGAAATAAAGATATTCTAAACCTAAAAATACTGATTGCGATCAAAAATAGCAATCTTATAGTTTTACAAGAGTAATACAGTTTTATACGAAAAATGGTCTATGGTTTGGTAAATTTCTCCAACTAAAGCTTGCTAGTCAAATTCCACTTTCGGAGTTCATCGACACCAATAACAAAATAATCCTCAGTTAAATTCTAAGAATTACAAATCGCCTCATACACTCAAATATACTCAGTAAAATCAAAAAAATCAAATTGATTACGAAAATATTTTCCTTTTTTCAGAAATATCTAGTCTAAGTGCCTGTAAAGAGGTTTGCCTGACGACGCTGCCGGCTCCTAAGGAGGATCCGACGAGTAAAATACTATTAGCACTGAAGAGTACATACACCACGTCGTTTCTTAAACAATTTGCCACGCTAACTCGGAGATCACTTCTGGTAAATACCAACTAAAATCATTTGAACTTCGACTTTACTTTCTTTGCCATCTCGTTAATCCAGATTAAATTCTCCCAAATCAATGATTTGATCTCTCACATCTCAAGACATAATTTTCGGTTCGGCTTTGACAAGTTTGTTTTTGAGTAAATGAGGTCTACAAAGTATGTAGTAACTGTAACAATTACTTCGATTTTAATTCATTTGTAGGTACTATTCCTTTCACATCCGGAATAGAAACTGGAATCACATCAACCGACATTCTAAAGTCTTATTATAAAAATCGAAACTAACAATATAATTATTGTGAAATGATACGTTTCGAATGTACGTTCATGTAAACACTATCATTTATTACACATCTGTGTTTATAATTTGTTTAACGGAACTTTGACTTATGTTTTACACTGCGTGCTTGCCCCACTTTCCAAAACGTTTGTCAATGTAAAGAGTCTTAAGAACTATTTAGACCTCATTGAACCAATTCTAATTAAATCTCTTCCACGATAATCCGTGAAAAATCTTATTTTATCTGAACTAGATAATTCTAGCTCAGTTAAAGACTACCAGAACAAAAATTTTACACATTTTTTATAAAGCTTACGCATCAATATTCTATCTCCAGTAAGCCAATCTGCAGAAAAATAGATTATTAAGGCAGGAATTTGCTCATTCTTATCTTGCAGACAATATGGAGAGACCCCTCGTTCACTCTAATGACGACAGGCATCCACTGCGCGATGGCGCTCTTCATAGGATTCCTATTTTACAACATCGGACATGACGCTAAGTACGTGCGGGACAACTACAACTTCTTGTACTTCAGCCTTATGTTCCTCATGTTCACCGCTTTCAGTGGTGTTACTATCAGCTGTAAGTATATCTTATTTAGTGTTTACTTTTCACTTAGGTAAAACAAATTTTTCCTCTCTTTAAATATTTACATGGCCACGTTAAAATGTATGCATTTAAACGCAACAAGTTTAACTGATCATAAAAGTTACACAGTAGTTGCGTGGGTGAACTTGAAAGCGATGGAGCAACTGCATCTGACTCAGAACGCGTTACGAGGCCAAGAGGAAGCTCCAAATGAATAATATTAATCAACAGTTACAAGATCAAATGTTTATGTTGTTCGCATTTTGTTACAGATTCGTTAAGAGACATTGCGTGTTCTTTGTTACGAATGTTCTGGCTCTAATCCAAAATATCGTAGTAGTCTACAAGAATTTGGCCATAAACCCAAAAAACACTATCAATTCATAGCTCAAAAGCTATTAACTTTCACTACTCATTAGCAAAGAGACATAATATTTCTTAAACAATAATACCATTCAACAAGTCAACAAAAATACAGTACAATTTTTTGTTTACAGTTCCTGAACAAATCCCTGTGATCCGACGAGAACATTTCAACAGGTGGTACACAACGGGTGCCTACTATACTTCGACTATAGCATCGACATTACCAACACAGACTGTGTGCACACTGTCGTACGCCTTCATTGTGTACTGGCTTACTGGACAACCTACCGAACTGCGACGGTTCGCCGGCTTCTGCTTCATACTGCTCTTAGTATCGTACGTCGGATTATGCAAAGGACTGCTTATTGGATCCTTGTTTAATGTTAAGGTTTGTACTGACGTTGATATAATTTGTATGACTATTGCTCAAATAAACATCAATAAGTAAAATTTGATCTTCTAAAGCGTCTCTAATGATGGACGTTGATCGAATATAGTAGAGTCAAAAATGTAAATGCTTGGAGTTGACGTAATCAGCTTTAACTTTGTCGTATCGATGTCAATAATCCTGTATTTAATATACTGGATTTTGGATTTTATTATATTCGACTAGTGTTTATGCCAAAATAATTTCGTCTATTCTATTCGATTGCCATAAATACATAAGAAAAAAAATATCGAATACTTACTAATGATATTTGATTTAGTAATAAACCTTATTTTATAACAATTGACTATTTCCAGAATGGAGTGGTATTCGGACCATTCTTCATAATGCCGTTCACCGTGTTCTCTGGGTTCTTCCTCCGATACTACGACGCTCCGTTCTTCGTGCGATGGCTATTCCAGGCGTCTTTCCTCAAACACGGCCTTGTGGGCCTCGTATTATCCATCTACGGCATGGACAGGCCCAAACTCGTGTGTTCAGAATTATACTGCCATTACTCCTACCCCAATCTATTCCTACAAGACAACTACATAGTCGGTGAAAAGTTTTCCATGCTTATTCTTGCACTGTTCTCTATAGGAATTATTGTATCAATATTTGCTTTTATCATATTAAAAATAAGATTAAAGAGCAAATGGTAATATATGGGGACTGGAAATGGAATGAGTTAATGAAAGTGAGACGGGATGTGAAAACCTCGTCATCTTAATATATAAGTATGACAACGTAACTAGTCTGTGTGAAGAGCGAGCCATAGAATGCACAGGGTGTGTGTGTAGTGCCAGCATTATTAATTATGATATTTTTACTGGAATTTTAATAAAAAAAACTACATCGAAAGAAAATTCATTAGTAAAGGCTATACCTATGCCTATTTTAAATTATGAAATGTCACAGAAATATTAAAGTAAAATATCAGTTGCATAAATAAAAATGAAAACGATGCGAATGTTCTTCATCAAAATAGGACAGAATTTATTTTGGAGACAAAATAAATTGTAATTTAAAATATGCTAGACATTCCAATGTAAGTGTAAATAGTTTTTATTTTAAGTATCAGAAATAACCATAGTATGTACCGTTATCACAAGCTCAAAGTGTTTACATTATAATTTAAAACATGATGTGTACAAGTATGTAAGTGAATACCAATTGTAAAAAATAATATAAATGTGAACTTTTATAATAAATGTTGTAATAAAAAATATTTCTATAAGTACTTGTAATTCATTAATAAACTAGAATAAGAAATTAATATAACAATAAAAATGTATAAAGTAGATCAGAGAGTTACAGTAAACACATGAATTCCTTAGTATTAGGGGTACGGATTCATCAGCCCTTACCGAAAATTAAAAATATATATACATATTACATAATATATATTTAAAAATCTGAATACTACCTTAGCCACCCTCAGTACTAAAGAAATCACGTACGTACCGTAAAGTTCGTTTATTTAATACCAAAGATTACAATTATCATTACAGGCATGCTGTTTTTAAATATACACATTACTAAGAATAACTATGGAATTACAGTTTTGGTAATAAATAAAAAATTAGGTTTCGATAACTTTTTATTACATAAACAAAATTACAGACACATTAATTAATACTTTAATAATTATTTCCAAGAATCAACTAAGGGGAAATTAAAGGTAATTCGTTTGGAATGCCTCAGGGTATCATTTTTGGCCCAACCCTGTTTTCCTAAATTTTTCACACATTTCCGGGTTCCGTGCAAATAAATTCAATTTCAAGTCGATTTCAAAGATATTATAATTTATTTTTGTATCCTCCTACTAAAAACAGTAAATTAATGCTAAAATGCTATTTTAAGTGTACGATCAAACTATAAAAATAAACATATACAACATAAGAGAATGGGTGATTGGTAACTATATTTTTATATATCTTAACAATTTAAAATTAACACCTTCAGAAAACTAATACGAATTATCAAAAAATAGAATATTAGAACAAATTGATGCACAAAACTAATATTATTGGAAGTACAAAAATTCGTATATCTTTAACACAAAGAGATTATAATACTGATTATTTTGATAGTTTTAGGCTAAATGTGAATATTTCCTTAATATATTCGTTCTAAAGATAACGTAGGCGATACAGCAAAATTAGAACAACTTTAAGATTTTTTATAAAACGTCTCAGAAATTATTTTATCTGATTGCAATTAAATTATATTGAAAACATTTTATTTTCTATTCTTCCAATGTGAATAAATATATTTTGCAAATTTTGACACTATTTTGTTTTTCTTTAGAAGCCAATTTCCTTTACTTTACAGTGAAAATTCTTTATGGAAGATAACATGATATTTTTACTATTTAATATGTTCGTCCGAAATCGTTGAACGGCCTTCGATGAGCTACACGCTTGTTCTGAATTTTTTTATGGAAACAATGAATGAATTAAATATTGTATTTTAGTAAAAATATAAGTTAATATAGAATCTACAATTATTTTATTTTACTAGGTACCTCAATGATGCCGTAACTAGATTAATGGTTATCTTATCTTATAAAACGGAAGAGTTTGTTTTTTTGTTTGTTTGTTTGTTTGAACGCGCTAATCTCCGTAACTACAAGTCAGATTTGAATAATTCTTTTTGTGTTGGATAGCGCATTTATCGAGGCTATAGGCTATAAAACATCACGCTACGACCAATAAGAGCTTAGCAGAGCGTATGAAACCGCGCGGAAGTATCTAGTACTATTATATAAAGCGGAAGAGTTTGTTTGTTTGTTTGTTTGTTTTAACGCGCTAATCTCCGTAACTACAAGTCAGATTTGAATAATTATTTTTGTGTTGGAGAGCACATTTATCATTATTATCTACTCATAAAACATCACGCTACGACCAATAGGAGCTGAGCAGAACGTGTGAAACCGCGCGGAAGTAGCTAGTATTGAATATAGTCACCTAGAACATTGCATTTCCTAGCAAGCGTCATTTACGTGTCCGATCATAAAAGATCATAAATGAACTTCACCTCACTAGACGGCTAGAAGGTATATGGATCGTTTATCGCTTAGTATGCAGGTAATAATTACAAGATATACCTTCAATGCACTCACTCATTACCTAAATAAATGAATTATCTCATAAGAAATAAAAAATGTTGACTTGCCTTGCCTTAAGTGCACGGTTGGTGCGGGACTAGGCAACTGGCTACCGCGCAACATGTCGCAGGTTCGATTCCCGCACGGAACAACTCTTTGTGTCCAAACAGATTGTTTTTCCAGGTCTGGGTGTCATGTGTATGTAAACTTGTATGTTTGTAAACGCACGTACGACATAGGAGAAAATCCTAGTGTGGGGAAACGTTATAAAAAAATCTACTTCAACTAACCCAATATTAGGAAAATCACATAAAATGCCGGAAAAAATTTGATCCTAACCTTAACAATACCTACCTATATTTAATTTATCGGTAGTAATTATCGCGCAGGACATTCAAATTATAATAAGCTAAGATAAGTAAGACTGATCATTATTGTGTATCTAGTGATAAATAATTATAATGAAGATAAATATCACAGTAGTCGGGGTACCAGGGCACCGTGTACTAGTGTGTTATTGCGTACTGTGTCTCGGAGAGGAAATCTCGCAGTCTTGCGACCGGCGAGCGCCTGCATCGCTCCAATTTTCCAATTCCGCATAATACGTGATAATCATCAGCATCCGTCCCGCTTCGTGACACTTTAAACTAAGATAATAAAGTTTTCTGATGCCAAGATGGACGTGGAAGCCGCTCGAGATGATATTAGTGTCGAAGATGGAAGTTTTATTGTTTACACCGATATATTCTACACAGTTAAACTATCAAGTAAGTAAGTCGAATTACTTTTCGTAAATCACAAAGAATAAAATTATTTCGATCGAATTTTCATTGTTTAGTGTCATTTTAAATGTCGTGTTGAATTACCTTTTGCCTTTTGCTATGATGAAAAGTATGTGAAGGCAATCGAGTATTCATTGCGTTTGTATACTGTGCAAACTGTATTCTAGCAGATAAAATATTCGTAGTACTAGTACAACATATTACAAATATATGCTGCAAGTGCATTTATTTATTGACTGGGATATTACTTATGCTTGCACTTTGTACCCACGCAGCGAATTATTAGCATACTTATCAATAGAAATTGCATCATTTTCTAAATAAAATTGATAAATAACATAATTAAAATAGTTAAAGGGATTATCTACTTAAAGTATTAGCGTTTGTTTAATCATAATCAAATAATCAGATGTAAAATATAGAACTATCATGATCTAGGAATTAAATATTTTAATCGTTTTAATACTTGGTACTTAGTGACCACCTACTCGTTAAGTTACGGTATATTATTATAGATGTGATCCCCTTAACCTTACAATTTATTATGAATGCAACCATTTTTTTATTTATAGTCTGTTTTGAATACGAACGAAACTAAATTAAAAGCTAATGTAGTTCCGTTTATATACAAAAGCGATTAGTTTTTCCTATAATATATCCAGCAGCTGTAGCCAAATACCATTTAGCACTTGTCTACTTGTAGAGTAGAAAACCAAAATGGACTTGACGTAAATTTTGACACTTGTCATTGTCATCCCCATACATTTAATTTTCTACTCTCTCGGTAGATAAGCACTAAAATGGCGTTTGGCTAAAGGCACTGGTATTATAAACCGATAGATGTTTATTAATCTAACTTACGAAAACTACTGAACTCATGAACTGGTTTAGGTAAAATTATTGACCTAAAATTAATTTAAGTATAGTGATTCAAAGTACATACAGAAGTCAATTTTACAAAAAAAAAATATTAATTTTTATTTAAAAATTTACGTGCATAGAGAATAGGTATATAACAAATTAATTAACGAATTTAGTCATTATTGTTGTAAATGTATGTAATATATTATAATTTATGAGTCAGAAGCTATTAATATTTACATGAGATAACGACTGCTGACATTTGTTTTTGTCAAGAACTCGTGTAAATAAATTAACAAACTTCTGTCAGCGACTTCACTCATATGTAGGTAAATTAGAACTTTTCTGTGGAATAGGTATCGATCCTATAAAAACGTAGGGATTAAAAATAAAACATAGGTACATTACATTATACCTACTCCTTGAAAAGCGAGGTATGCAGTGGTAAATGATTTTTAAAAATCGGTTCAGTTATTTTGGAGCCTTCGTCATTGCTAAAATATAAACGATATTAAGTAAGACTTAATTATTTTACCTATTAATGTCTATTGTCATATGTAGATATATGTATCTGCAATATGTACGTGTTTTAATTCCTTTTTTATTTTACATTAGCGACCCGCCACGGCTTCGCACGGGTGGTATATGCATGTATTATACATATAAACCTTCCTTAAGAATCACTCTATCTATTAAAGCCCCATTAAAATCCGTTGCGTAGTTGTAAACATCTAAGCATACATAGGGACAGACAGACAGAGGATAGCGACTTTGTTTTATACTATGTAGTGATTTAAATTCATTACTAGCTCTTGCTCCCGTCATATTCTCTTCTCTGTGACACCCTAAGGTCTGGTTGGTAGATAATACCTACGGCATTAAGTCCACCTAATGTACACATACATGCATGGATCTTCAATAAATACATAAATCAGTCAATATCAAAAAAGCTCCTAATAAAATCTCCTTTAAACACCAAGTTTATGAATTTTATTTAATATCGCTGCTAGGTCTAGGTCTTCGTCGATATATATTTGTGTATGTATTTATACCTATATATTTTATGCATATGACTATATATAGACTATTTACTATTATGTAATATATATGTTTAACTATATTATTTAATAATTACCATTATTTTTTCCTCTCTCTCTCTCTCTCTTTGTTGTTAGTTTATTCTCCGTACCTCAGTTTTCGCAGATTTTCTACTTAAACCCTAAGGTTGACTGGTAGAGAATGCCATATGGCATTAAGTTCGCCTTATGTGCCATAAACAAATTATGTACATTAAAGAATAAATAAATTTACTCAAATAAAATAATATAATTAAGCTGACTGATAGTTCTTTCTTCTAAGACACAATACCCTGGAATGATATAAAATGAACTGTTTCATAATTAATTTTGAACTTACTTTAAATGCTTTGAAGTAAAAGATATTTAAGTAAAGCAAGTAGGTAAATATTTTGAAGGCCGACTGGTTGTTTATACCTATACTAAAAGCTTTTGGTTGCACGATACAAAAATATGTGCGTACGATTATGTATTTTATTGACTACAGTACAAATATTAAAAAAATATCTAAGAACGTTACTCTCAGTAAGTGAAGACTATATTGATAGTCAGGTACTGAGTACAATTAAATGATTTACTAAACATTCTTCAAAACAATACTTATGCATAATTAATTTTAATTCTAATGGCTATGCTTCTTCTTATACTAGTATAGAAATATAGTAATATTTCTGAAGTATAGAAATATAGTAATATTTCTATATTATAATCAATCAAATAACTATCACAAGTCTCAACAAGATAATTTGACGAGTTTGTAGAGAACCCTCTCTATATGCGATGTAAACGGTATGTTGATACTACCAGCCAGTCTCACAAGCGCTTGCGCACAAATCGCACGCATAGTTAAATCAATGCTGCGTTCGAAATAAACCGTTCCATTTTCAAAATATTTTTTATACCATAATGGATGTAGAACTTGGTGCCCGTGATGAAATTAAAAACAAATGTGATGTGTCCGTATTTGTGGGCGTACAGTTCAGGATTTCCAATGGTAATTATTTTATTGTTGTTATATTAAGTGAAAGTTTACGCGGCAATACTTTAGTGTTACGAACGGTGTAACTGCTCGACTATGTTCATATTTCTTCATAAAATACTTAAGATACAATATAAATTACGTGTTTTTAAAAGGATATAGGATATGTGTATCAAGGTTTTAGTGACAACTATACGTAGATAGCCATAAGAACAATAAATAGTGGTCATATACATAACTTAAAGATGACTGCAAATATGCAGACTATTACTTTTTCTTTCATTCCGAATATCTTTTATTTTAAGTAATGTAACTATAAATATTTGTTGTTATTCAAGACATGTTTCTCCTGTATTTGACCTTGTACTTAGAAGTCTGCATAACAATATTTGATTGACCACAACTTACTCTGTCATACTTTGATGTAATTGTTTAATTTACATCTAATTTATTAAAATCTAATTCCGTAAATAGAGGCCAAGGTAAAGTCTTCATTTAGATGCAAAAACAAATAGTTTCATTTACTAAAACATCATACTTTGTTACCCTACCATACCAAGGTATATGAACCAATAGAGACAAACCTCAAATAGGGAAAATTATTCAAATGTTCGCGTTCACCCCCCCCCCCCATACTAAAAACGTGTAGGATCAAACAGATATATGCTAGTACTTCCAATTCGTTGATAGTTTTTTTCTGGAATTTTTAAAGGGCTTTCCGTGACACGGACGCGAACTGGTAAATGGACGCGAATAGGCGAACTTACTCTGCATTTAGATAAAATCAATATTTATAAATTTTTACCTTATAAGTATTGCAGAGATTTCATTTGATACAAAATCTAAAACTCAGCATAAATCCAAGCATAAAATCCAGCATAAATCCACTGTTCATATTATTTTATGTTTCTTTGAATTTGTTATTGGTTTCCTTGTTATTATTTAACTCTAAGCACGTGCTACGTGGTTTTCCGTAGATGTAAAATATATTATTTTAAGTAGTATATTTGTATGAGTAGATAATGAGTAAGTCAGATTGTCCGACATATTATTATGATATATTGTCCGTTGGTCACTCCAACTCTACCGTAAGTCGATGAAAAATAACCTGTGAAATTCGCAGATTTTTAAATATCCTAAGCGCCGGTTTCACCACCTCTATATAAGTACCTGATAAACTTATGTGACTGAATGTTCACACATATTACGTTCTTAATTCAAATTTATCTGGTAGATAACGGCTATCCAGATATTGTGAAACAGACCCTTAGTCTAAGAAATAAGTAGGTAGCTACATAAAGCAATTTTTCTTCTATTGGTTTATTCTACCTGCTATTTATTGACCAATCAAGCCCTCAATTGATAACGAATTAATTAGAACAGTGGATTACCTCCATATTTACACATGGATACTAGATTATTTTAGGAAACAAGCATGTATGATCTTGTTGTTAGTAATAATTGGGTCTGTAGTAATTCTTCAAATGAGTTATCAGTGTGGTTATCATTGTATTTGGCATATTTTTATCCCGGCCTTCCTACGCAGGTCAAATGACCATTATCTCCAGAACAAATACGTCACAATCACTTATCTATTGTTTTACTCATGGCCCAATGTTTGACATAATTATTTAAAACTTTAAACGCATTAAGCTAACGAATATGAATGTTATATTTGTAAAAAGTACATGGAAACGCCTGTTATGAGAATTGCGTCATTTCATTAACGAAGCGAAGCCCAAACGAAGCGCACCTATAGTGTTCCGTAGCGCACGCGTATGTGGACTTCAAATATAATCAAAACGTGAAACATATTAAACCTTTAAAAAGTATTGCATTTGTTTAACCATAACCACCGGGATATTATTCGATTTAAGTGACATATTAATATTAAAATTCACAATTTTGAGACATGGATGAATGAAACTTAAAAGTGTATTATGAGCCTCATACTAACTGAAAACATGTGAAAATTTGCTAATGATTCAAGTCTGCGTTACTAGATTTTATTATATGATATTACGACACTATGCTTCTAAGTATAAGGGGCAAAGTTGCAGTATTATGCG